GACGAATTCTGCCCATTAATTCCAGCCTGACTTCGTCAATATTTTTGTGAACATACTTAACTGGATCTTTTTTCTTTTCAAACTACAAAAATAAACCACAAAAACCGACGTGTTAAACAATTAAAAACGTCGGTTAATAATAACTAAAACCTTCGTTTTATAAATATGCAAATGACGATTTTTCCAAAAATAGACGTAGTATGTAAAAATAAAAAGAAATTAAATTTTAAATTTTTATTTTTATTTTCTTCTCAAATGCTAGGGCTGGATCATGGATTATATCTCTCATGAAACGCATCACATAGTACCCACACTCTACATTTGTTGGTTGTCGAGGAGTGCCGTGTAGAGTTTTCCATATGGCTGATTTACATGATGATTGTTTGCCTACGTGAGAGTTATACATTTTGATTGTGTTGTTTCAAGAAAACAAAAAGTGTTAATGACAAATATTTTAGCCTACTAACACACATTAGAATGTAGTAAATCAACTTACGTATTCAATATATTTTTCATGTCCTCGTCAACCGGGCGGTTTGGCAATGGATCCATAGAATATACCGTCTCCTTATCTGGTCTCACAATCGCCAACACCCAATGACCCCTACACAAAATGATCATATATAGGTTAAATAGTTAGGTGCAAAGAAAAATTACAACAAAAAAAATCTTGTTAAGGGGTCTAACCCTGGATTATAAGGCACCAAGAAAAATTGGTCCCCATCTGCCTTTTTCAGGCGATCTGCTAGATGTTTTGATCTGGAAGATAACGTTCTAGATTGAGCGCTAACTTGTCCAAGGTTAACGAGGCCAACAAGGTTTACCATATTTGCCATTTTTAAATAGTCAAATAGATACCTAAATATATGAAATTCAAATGAGTTTTTTATTTTAAAGAAAAATTAACCTAAAATAAAGATTGGATTTTTAGAATTACCTCATGTATACTGCAATCACTGTGGATCCGATCTCAACCATGGATGCAAACTGTAAAATATCATCATGCAAGATGTAAGTATCATGCTCATACCCAAACACTTCCTCTGGAATTTTAACCCTCACTGTCTCATTCAAAGGCTTCAACTTGGTCTCAGCAAGTTGGCATAGGGCTAACAAAGGAGGTGGCAAGTCTAGCTTTGAGAAATCCTGCTTCAAGAAATAAAGAAAGAAATATAAGCTAGAGATTCACTATAGAAGTGGAAGAGAAAGCAGTTACAAGCACTCAAGTGTTTTCTTCACACTTACTCATAATTAGGCTCATAGCCGCACTTATGCCACACCCGCTAGGCTCACTTTAGCCACAAATAATGACTCCCTAAAGGCCTTATTTGTAGTGCATAAATCCTAGGGTTACATTTGTTAGAAATGTGGCCTACAAGCCAATACATTTGATGTAATCTCCTTAGAATACATTTCAATAAATGGCAAACTTATTTTGTTATCTTTTACATCAGTTAAAGAAACAAAGTTTGGGGAATACTAAATAGGAGATAAAGTAATCTAAAGAAGATTAGATTCAAGAGACCTTTGATCTGTAACTATAGTATCCCAAAATGTTCCTGATCATAAGGTTATCAAATGGGCATTGATAAACTGTCAAGACTAGCACATATTATGCATGCTTAATAAGGAGGATGGTTAGTCTCAAATCATTTGTGTAGTTGACACTAATACAAGTATGTGGGTAATAAGGAGAATAAGGAGAAGGAGAAGGACAGCACTCTGAAGTTCCTTGCAGTTTAAAGCTATGTTATATAAAAGTCTCATGAGAAGAAAAACTATCTATGTATAAAATATGACGTTTGTTGTACTTAGCTTCCTTTTAAGTCTTCAATCTCATGAAAGAAGTGGTCCAGCTATGCACTTAGATATTCCAAGAGCATATTGTATTATTGCTCAAACCGACGGCAATTGGATAGTCAACCCTTTTATCTATGGGCCTTAAATTGGTATATGCCAAGAGCATATTGGACAAGTCCATCGTTGGATATGTGATGCAAAACAAAACCATGTTTGTGAATTATTGCGGATTTCCCTTGAATATGATCAACTGCAATTGACTGGTTGTATATTTTATA